TCGAGTCAACTTCATGCGACGGGTAATTTGTTTTTAATGATATTATGATCTAGACATTATTTCTCTCTATTTCTGCATTACCAACATAAAAAAATCGAATAATTCATGTTTAATATTCTATGTAATTTGCGCCGGAAATGTTTTTTTTTCGGCCTAATGACTAAATATACTGTTTCGAGATTGCTGCAACTTCTAGATTTAGATTTAAAAAATTAAAAACAAATTCTTACGTTCCAATTTCCAAATTCGGACAGAAAACAAGTGAGAAATTGCTCTTGTATTGCATATACAGTAGAGCTCCCGAATGTTTATGTTCCATGGGTTTCTTATAAGATACCTATGGGTCCGGTCATTTTTCAATGGGAAGAGAGCAGTTAAAAGGATCAAACGGTGTTGAGGGTCAAACGGGAGCGACGAACGAAGTGATCATGAGGGTCTAACGATCTTAAGGGTATTATGGCGGGGTCCATAGCTGGAAAAAAAAGCAGAGAATTCAATGAAAATTGCTGAACCGATTATTCGATCCATTTGAAAGCCGTGTGCAAAATGTCAAAACCCCTACTTAAACAATAATTATGGGAATAATTTTTGAAGTTGCTACTTACACACGCAGTTGAATGGGGCATCGGTAATTTTTGTGAATTTCCTACGTTATCGATAGATCAATAACGTAAGAAAAGCACTAAAATTACCGATGCCCCATTCAACCGCGTGTATAAGTAGCAACTTCAAAAATTATTCCTATTATTATTGTTTAAGTAGAGGTCTTGACATTTTGCACACGGCTTTCAAATGGATAAAATAATCTATTCAGCAATTTTCATTGAATTCTCTGCTTTTTTTTTCCAGCAATGGACCCCGCCATAATACCCTTAAGAGGGGGTCACACCACTTTTTAAAAATCTGGGCAATATAACGGGAGAACAGACCGAATAGATCTACAAATTAGGAATCCGATTCGGCTGTTTCAGAGGTTAGATAATGGACGGAAGAACGAAGAGAGGGGATAGGGAGTTTGAGGCTCATTTGTCCGCATTTCCCGTTACATACCCACAAAACACATTTGAGGAATAATACGTTTGTCAAATGGACAGGTTGGTGATGTGTATTATGACCATAAGTGATATGTATATGTGTTTGTGGGTTGTTGCGACGGCTAAGGGGGAGCCATTGCTATTCAAATGACTGCTGGTCTTCGTTCCCGTATTGGGGACGATGGTGGGCATCAAAGGAGGAAAAGTAACGGGGCGCGTAACGGAGCCGAATTTAATGCACTGTCTCTTTCTTGTTTATTTTTCTTCTCCTTTTCGTTTGATCCTCTTTCATTTCTATGACACGGGTATTACTATCGATTAGTGATAATGGAATTCCTTTCATTCCATTGTTTACGATGAGGGATTAATGTCTGTTTACTATTGCATCTAAGCGTTGAACTGTTATTTTTTATGAATGAATAATAGAAATTGTTCAATTAGGTTTTGAAATGGCTGAATTAAGACCCCGGTAATATTCCGGATTTTTAGGGTGAATTGAATCAATTGAGAATTCATTGTTTATAAATAATTCATGAATGAGGTTTAAAAGTTGCAATTGTTAGAAACTTCATGAATTTTTGGCAACAAATGGGTATTGTTTGTCAAATTTTCAATAGAACATGTTAAGTTATCATTCACCTTTTCGTTTAGTTATATCGACATTTTTCATTATTCATTTGCACATCGATTTCTTCGTACACAAATATATATGTGGGCCATTGTCTCAAATATTGTCCGCGAATCTGCCCTTAAGATTTTCCGGTTTTTTTTCTGTCTCCTACGTTATTTTTTCGTATACATGGAGAACTATATTCCTCCAAAATGGGAAGTTCCGCGCTTCAACTAGCAGGCAATCGCTTGCTTTTACCGTTTCATCTAAAAATTTCTCAATTGAGTAGATAAAAAAATCAACGTGAAACGTCAAAACTTGATATTTTCATTTGTTTACAACGAAGCTTTCGGTCAGTATCTGATAATTTTGAAGGTCCGGAGTATTACAACTGATTATTTTTCCCAACCAGATTTCGACCAATCAGAGCGTAGTATTTGAGGCTACCCAACAGTTTTATTTCGTATATTTCCTCCTAGCTTTTGAATATTTCGCAAAAGTTTTTCATTTTTTTACCTGAATATTTCGCAGTAGCTCTTAATTTTTTCGGCTCATTTCAGATAGAATCTTATATTTGACAGTCTATCGAAATCGGGTCATTCTATTAACACAACTTGTTCAAATCTTTCCCAATTCACCTCCTGATGTTGTCCACTGCACTCTGCTTGGCCAAAATCCGATTGGGAGAAATAATCCGACAAATACCCCTCGAGATTCAAAACTAATCGGGTATTTCCCTCAAGCTCCCCTGCAAACAAACCATCGTCCCAAGTTTTTCAGAAAAATCCCTCGCGTAAGCGCTCGGGATTTTTTAACCAGCAAAACTTGACACCCTCATTTGTTCGCAACGAAGCTATCGGGGAATACCCGATAATTTTGAAGGTCTCGTGGTATTACTGATTATTTCTTACAATCTGATCTCGTCCAATCAGAGTGCAATATTCAGGGTCACACCGCCGCACCTTTCACTCTGATAATTTCCCCAGCGGCAGGGAAATCGTCAGACCGATAATTTCCCTGTAGCCGGTGAATTGTTTTTTACTGATTTGACAGATAACACCCATATTTTGGTGGAATGTGTCATGTAACGTCGAACACCGCAATCTGTTCGGCCGAGATCGGAACGGAAGAAATAATCAGTAGTAGTATGGGGTACTAGAGCTTGAAAATTTCCGAGTATTTCAGTAGTGAAGTGGTAAAACGGTTTAAGTCGATTTATCCCCTAGTTCAGTTTTTGAGGAATATTTCCGAATCTAAGGGAAATAGCAAAATTTTCGTAATTGTATTTGTTGTAGCTCTTAATGGAGTCTCCAAAAAAGCTTATGATAAAAATTTTCCTATTTCCCTTAGATTCCGAGATATTCATTGAAAACTGGTCAATAGTCAAAATTGACTTATAACGTTTTATCATTTCGCTATTGATTTCATGTTTTGCAGGTTAAAAAATCCCTAGCGATTACACAACGGATTTTTCTGCAAAACTTGGCACGATCGTTTGTTTGCAGAGAAGCTTGAGGGAAATATCCGATTAATTTTCTCAGTTCTGATTTTGACCAATCAGAGTGCAGTATTCGGGGTCACACCACACCTTTCACTCTGATAATTTCTCCGGGGCAGGGAAATTATCAGACTGATAATTCAGAACAATCTTAATTTTTCGTCTGTGATTGTTTTCGAATCCACCAACAATCCCCCAACATCAGCTGCCATTCTATCACGCGGGGTTATGTTTAGAGAGAAAAGGGAACGCGGGCGATACAATAAATTGATTAATCATCGATATTCATTCAGTAAAAATAAAAATTTCATTTAATTCGGGCGCGACGAGGGAGGTATCTTATTTGTAACCCGCTGATCCCTATTTTTCTCCTCTCTATGGGCGCGCGTAGTGGGGGCATAGGGGTTCCCGGAATTCCACTCTTCTACTGTCCCTAAGGTATCTTATAGGAAGCCTCTACTGTAATTGATTGTCTCTGTTTTGAAATCACAAATTTCATTGCCATACTTCTTGTGTAGTAATTCTCTAGCAATCAAACTCCCCGCCAGTCTAAACCACATGTGATAATCCCCCCTCCGCTCCCTCCCATATCATCAGCCACTGAAACTCCGGCTGAGTCAATCTCGTTCTACGGGGAATGCGTAATTTTCTTGGAAGAGCCACATACACATTGACATTCGGAATTCCTCATTCAAGAGGAAAATTAATTAATTTCACGTCGTGAGGACTTCCCCGTCAGATACCTATAAAAAATGTGAAACTATCAAACAGTTGATATCATTATAGGAAATTCAAAATTCTTGAATAACTAAATTCATGAAAAACTGACAATTTTCAGCAGAGAAAAACGAATTGAAAACTTTGTTCGTCTTATGAAAATTTTGAAATTGAACCTTTTTTCCTAAGTAATTTGAAACCATGAGAATGCACTCCTGTTATTCTCATCAACAATATTTAGACGATAAAATTTACGAGAATATTACCATTTTATGAAAACTGGAAAAAAAATTCCCGAAAAATGGTCATTCTCAATAAAAAAAAATCCTCGAAAGTAAATTTCTCCCCATGAAAATTTGAAAATTGCATATTTCGCAACAACTAATGGCCAACAGAAATAAAGATGCAGAACTCGTAATTTTTCCCTAACAAAATACGCAAAAAAATTTGTTTTTCAATTCAAAATTTAAAAAAATAAGAAACTGTTTCTTCCCAGAAAAATCCGAAAATTAAAAATTTCCCCGAAAATAAAGTAATAAAATAAACCACGAGGACTCGTATTATTTTCATCGCTCAAACCATGCGATTCAAATTTTTAACCAGCAAATTCCCGAAAAAACGATGATTTTCAATCTAAAAGAACCAAAAATACGGAGAAACCGTATTTTCTCAAGAAAATACGGAAATGAAAGCTCGGCGTTGAATTTTCGTAAGACCCAAGACCATTGGCATTGAAGGGACAAGACCCCTCCCCCTCCCGGTAACCCGAAAAACTCCCAAAAATTCCGTCACCACCTGCGCATTGTCTGCTGGAGCCATCCGAAATCAATCGATAGATCACTTCCTCAAAGTTCAGCGGGCCACGTAGCCGAACTCTCCCCACCGATAGGTCCAACAGATCCCCCCCCCCCCTCCCTGAAGAAAAAAAAAATCCTCCACCACTCATTCCGCAGTCGTCCTTCCTCGCGCTCCAAGAAAAAAAAACCGGCACTTTAAGTAGTGAAGACAGGTGCCTGCGCAAGTAGTGAAGAGTCGCGTGGGGGATACCAGAAAAAGGGGAAAATCCTCACTGGAGGGGAGACTGTTGCCGGCATGGAAGGTATATACCGGTATCTACCAGTGTCTCGTGCTCTCACGCGGTCAGAAACTCGGAGGAGTTCCCCCAGAAAACACGTGCGCACATTTTCAGCGCGTTGATGAATTAAAAAATTCACCAGAATTAACAATCTCTCAGAGGGAGTGAAATTACTGCAGATAATATAATACGCGAACATAATTGATTGATTGAAGAGTAAAAAGAAAATTTTTTTTATTTTTCATTTTTCATTCAATAAATTGGAAATAAGCGTGGAGTGGAGAATGGACATAGTGGGATTTTTAAATAACTACGTGGAGAGCAATAGCAGTGCATTATCGAGTAAAAGTGTGAAGAGAAGCATCAGTATCATCAGCAGTAAATCGGTACGTCGAGCTTCGGCGTCACGACGCTCGGTGCGCCCGCATCGTCGCAGAGACTAGCAAAATCACATTCCGCAACCTCATCTTCATCTTGTAAAAAACGTTTGGTTTGTGGTGGTTTTGGTATTGGGGGGAAGGGAAGAGCCCGAGTGATCTCCCTGTGGGGCTCGAGAGAGAGAAGAGAAACTAGCCAATAAGCACACACACGTCTCGTGTGTCTGCCTCGAGGCACCGCCGCGCGAAATCGCCGAGACGTACAGAAAAATTTTTCACCGTTTTTTGTGATAAAATCGAGATTTTAGTTGAATTCGCGAGTGTGTGATTCATCCTCGAGGGACTGTTTTGTTCCTTTTTTTTTGGGGGGGGTTTTTTGCGGACGGTGGAGTGAACTGGTGTGAGGGGAGACAAGTGATAATTTGGGAGGAAGCTGAGGTGCCTATTGTTTTAGAGTAGATATGGAATTTTTTGGAGTAAGGAGTGTCGACCTCGTGGTTGTGGGGTCCCTCGTGCTTGGCGCGCTTGTCATACTCGTGGGATTCATCATCGGACGACGCACCGGGTCTGCAAGGACTACACGTAAGAGGCTTTATGAATTTCGTCATTGATGGGCTCCAGGGAAACATTTTTACAGATTTTTTTTTTCGTTTGGGGATTTGAAATTGTTTAGTTCTAGGAGATTTCAGTTATACTTTGAGGTGAGATGGTGCGAATTTGGGAGCATCGAGGCTCAGTTGTTCCAATGATTCATGGGTGAATTAAAATTTAGAGAAAATTAATTATCTACGATTTAACAATCACACAAATAAATTACTTTTTTTGCGCGAAGATTTGATTGAAAGGGAAATTCAATTTATAGGATAGTTCATTTGAATTTGGGGTGAGAGGGCACGAATTTCGGAGCATCATGGCTTAGTTGTTCCAATGACTCATGAGTGAATAAACATTCAGACAGCAATTTATCGAAAATTAATTGTCTACTATTTAACAATTACAAATGAAAAATTTTTCTTCACGCAAGTACTTCATTAAAAAAAAAAATTTAATGTGATTTCATTAGATTTTGGGGTGAGAGAGCACGAATTTTAATTCAGTCATAAATCATTGCAACAACTAAGCATCAAGACTTTTAATTGTCTACGATTTAACAATTACAAATAAAAAAATTTTCTTCACGGAAGTACTTCATTAAAAAAAAAAAAATTTAATGTGATTTCATTAGATTTTGGGGTGAGAGGGCACGAATTTTAATTCAGTCATGAATCATTGCAATAACTAAGCATCAAGACTTAGTTATTGCAATGAATAACATGAATCAGTCTTGATGCTTAGTTATTGCAATGATTCATGAATGAATTAAAATTCAGGCAAAAATTTATCGACAAGTAATTTCTAGGATTTAACAATCCCAGAAATAATTTTTTTTAAATATTTCATTAGAAGAAAAATTCAATTTATATGAAATTTCATTTGAATTTGGGATGAGAGCACGAATTTCGTAGCATCCCACCCGTCTCTCTCACTCCAATCCCCCACGTCTGAATTAAAACTCAGCCAGCAATTAATCGAAAATTTATTGATGTGGATGGCATTGAACAACGGTGTTAGGGGCCAATCACACAAAAAAAACTTCCTCAATGCAAGTATTTCATCAAAAGGACATTAAAATCCCGAGAGCAATGAGGAAACGACTCTAAATCGTTAACATCACCATAAAACGACAATTGAATATTGCGAAATGAGCGTTAACGTTCGAAGACTTCACGTAAAAATGAGAATTCAAGACCAAATGTTTCCTGATGAACTCCCGGATGAGAGTGGAATTTGAAAATCCACGCGCTCTCATTTATGAATCACCGACTTCCTCCGGTTGATCAGACCCGACGAGACTTAAATAACGATTACACGTGGTGTAATAAATCATAAAATTATTTCATTTGACCATCTACTCGGTTTTGTTGAACGTCTCGTGAATTTTCTAAGCACCTTTATCGGGCGGCAGCTGTGGCCCGCGGGACGCCGCATGGTACTCATGGGGTTCTTTTGAGAACAGGAAGACAAGGATGGGATGACCCAGGCGTTTACGGAGTAGAATTTCACGATAAAGAGAGACTGCGTTTGCACGTGTTGGGTTTACTGCGAGCGAGGGGGGGGGGAGGCAATGTGCATTTGCCATTTCCGTTGTAAAATCCTGCTGAACCTTCGGAAGTGCCCCAAATTCTCAGAAAAATACCTGGAGACAATTCAAGAGACTACTGAAAACAAAAGATAATTTTTTCTTTTGTACCTCAGGTCAGACAGGCATTCGCAAATATTCAGGAGAATATTTTTTTCAGACAAAATGGCGACGAAGGCAATGCACCGGCGAACGATGAATTACCCCTCCTATTCACTCATTTTATTCTTTTTCTTGCACTGAATGCACCGAGTGTAAAAATAAACTCGTACGGTTTTGTTATATATCTGCCGGCGCCGAGGCATTCTCGTTCTCTCTGAGCTGGCCGGGCGGATAGTGGGGCGAA